AAAAAAAAAAAAAAATCGATCATGGATTACAAGAAAAGAAAACAAACATTTCGATCATGGATTACAAAAAATTCTATTATGGGTTACAAAAAACCAAAAAATTCGATCATGGATTACAAAAAAACAAAAACAATTCGATCATGGATTACAAAAAAAAAAAAAAAAAAATATCCGTACGGAATCGTCGATTCACTGTTCGGACTCGCCGATTCCGTACAGTGAATTGGCGATTCACTGTACAGAATCGTCCGGTTCTCTCTAGAACCGGACGATTTTCGATTTTTTGGGCGATCCGGTCCCTTTTCACTATTTTCGAGTCGAACCGGGCGAGTCCGGTTCGACTCGACGTTTTTTAAAACGCTGGTACTTACACAATCGGTATTTCCCGTGGATCTAACGATGTTTATATATGAGAATGGTGAATGGGCCTTGGCCCTAGTTCCAATGAGCTCTATGATTAAGTCTCTTACTCTAGTCTCACTAAAAGGGGTTGGGGGTTCAATTATCTGCTGAACTTTTAAAAAATAATAAAATAATAATAAATAAATAAATAAATAATTGATGATGTTTATAAAATAATAATAAAAAGTTGACGATCTTTAATATAATCAATAAAAAGCTTGGTCACCTAAGAAGGGAAAAGAAATCTCAACCTTGAAGAAGAAAATGACTTGCCCATGGCGAGCCCCCATGATCACGAAAACTAGTCATGCATATGGAAAGCCCCAATAATTGGAATTCTAACCTTAATTTTTTTTTATAAAAAGAAAAAAGAGAGGAAAGAAATGGGAAGTGAACCTAATTAGAATTCTAACCTTTTCTGAAGGAAGAGAGATAGGAAAGGAATCGCATGGGAAGTATATCCACTCACGTGTAAGCACGTCCATCTCTCTTTCTAAATCAAGATACTGCATCTCTCTCTAACCAGGCAGTACGTCCCTCTTTCTTACTAGTGTTCCCTAGTTCTAGGCTGTTCTCTCTACTTTTCTCTCGTATTAGGGATGTATGTCTTGCTAAAAAAATTTCTATAGATTTTTTTTTAATAATAAAAATATATACCATATTTTAAAAGAAAATTGTTTCATATGTGCTGGACCACATGTCTACATTATGTGGTCTAGAGGTATAAAAACAATTATAACTAACGATCCAAATGTTTTTTAATATAATTTTATTTCTAATTTTCCAAAAAAAAATTCCATATTCATGATCTCCATATTAAAGATTATATATTTTCTAAAAATTAAGATCATATTATATTTAAACAATATATTTATTGCCAAGCCCTTGTACAATATGTAGGCGGGCCGCATGCTAACCGTATCATATTCTCTCTAGACATAAGGCTATGTTTTAATCCGTGACATGTGTCCACCCTTTGATTTTTGAGTTAATAATAATAATAATAATAATAATAATAATAATATATT